TGACCCAGCCCAGAGACAGCTGAGTTGAGGACTCACAGAGTGGTAATGTTACATTTGGCCCTGAACTTGGTGGGAACAGCACTATGTAGAGAAACTGTATTAAGTCTGAGCTCTCTCTGAGGTGATATAGGGGAAAGTGTGCTCCCAAGGGGTTGGGGAGGGGCAGGGTTGTTTTTACTTCTGTTGTTGCCATATCTTCAAAGTAAATGTTCTTTTGTAAAACCTAATTGATGTTAAATGGTTAAATGGAACTGGAGTTCTAGAACTAATAGCTAATAGTGGAAGGAAAACACCAAAATTGGTCTTGAGCCATAACTCAAGAGAAGAGAACTCCCCCACCCCCAACCACTCAGGGTACCCCTAGAACCTTGGGTTTTATGATCATTGGTCAGTTGCATGTTTGTTCATTCATAAATTGATTTATTTCTGATAGAAATTTGGTTAAAATTACTGGTCAATCAATAATTTGGCTACTGAGCATAATGTGCTTTTACAAAAAATAATTTATCTCCCTTTATAAACAAAGAATCTATTTAAACGGTACAAAATTTGTTAAGGCTTAAGGTTCTTTTTCCACCCTACCCCATTATCTTTATGAATAAGGATACAATTTCTTGGGACTTGTAAAGAGAGTTGTATATCCATTACTCTTTAATATGACAACCTGCTTAAAATCTTCTGGTTAAGACTGTATTGAACATCCCAAGAGTCCTGCAAAGCATCTTAGGAGGAAAGACTAAAGAAAATGTCCATCTCTTTAAAGGGAAGGAAGCATATTAGCTCTTCTGACATAATGAAACTTCATAAGAATATAAAACAGCTGTAATGAAACTAGTTAGTGGTTTGTACTTGCTGCTGACTGCTAAAAATAGAAATGTATTTTTCTGCTTCCATGTAGTAAGCGGCACACTTGTAAAGATTTTATGCTTTTATTTTACAATATTAAAACAGAAAAATTAAACTTATAGCAAATATCTTTTAAAATGAGCCCTTGAAGTTGTGAAATGACCCAACCATTTTGGAGAGCAATTTGGAACTATGCGCAAAAGGCTATAAAAATGTGCATACCCTTTGACCCAGCAATAGCACTTCTAGGGTTGTCTCCCAAAGATATCACACAAGTGGAAAAAGGACCCACATGTACAAAAATATTTATAGCAGTTCTTTTTGTGGTGGTGAAGAGTTGGAAATTGAGGGGATGCCCATCAACTGGGGAATGGCTGAACAAGTTGTGGTATATGAATGTAATGGAATACTATTGTGCTATAAGAAATGATGAGCAGGCTGACTTCAGAAAAACCTGGAAAGACTTGTATGGACTGATGCTGAGTGAAGTGAGCAGAACCAAGAGAATGCTGTACACAGTAACAGCCATATTGTGCCATGACTAACATTGATAGACTTAGTCCTTCTCAGCAGTGCAAGGATCTAAGACATCTCCAAAGGTCTCATGATGGAAAATGCTATCCATATCCAAAGAAAGAACTATGGAGTTTGAATGCAGATCAAAGCATAGTATTTGCTATTTTTTTTCTTCTGCTTTGTTTTGTTTCCTCTTTCTGGTGGTTCCTCCTATTTGTTCTAATTCTTCCTTACAACATGACTAATGTGGAAATATGCTTAACGGAAATGTATATGTAGAGCCTATATCAGATTATATGCCATCTTGGGGAGGAGGAGTGAAAGGAGGGGGAGAAAAATTAAAAACTCAAAAGCTTATAGAAGTGATTATTGATGAATCAAAATAAATTAATAAAAAAATTAAAAAACTAAAATGAGCCCTTGATTCAAAACCAGGTAAAGATCATACTGAAAAAGAAAATGATAGACCAGTTTTGCTAGCTGAAGATGACAGACCAATTTGCATCTCTAATGCAAAAATAGTAGCTAAGATAGGGGCAGGTAGGTGGCACAGTGGATAGAGCACTGGCCCTGGATTCAGGAGAACCTGGGTTCAAATCCGGCCTCAGACACGTAACACTTACTAGCTGTGTGACTCTGGGCAAGTCACTCACCCCCATTGCCTAGCCCCCCCAAAAAAATAGTAGCTAAGATATCAGCCATTAGACTATAGTAACACAATAAGAAAGTTATTCCTCATGGCAAAAGAGGTTTTATGTAAATTTTTTTTAAGGCTGGTTCAACATCAGAAAGGCTATCAACTTAATAAAACATACACAAAATCTCAATAAGATCATATGATAATAAGAAAATTGTAAAAGTTTTTGGAAAATTCAACATTCATTCATGTTAAAAATACTAAGAGTAGGTATGAAAGGCTTTTACCTCAACAGGATTAAAAATGATATACCTTAAGCCACTTCATCAAAGGATCATCACTCGACAAGTGCCTAAACCAAAGGCCACTAAGTCTTGAACATGGATCAAGACTGAAGACCAATTATAATGGTGGAAAAGGTTGTCCAAAAGCTAGTCCCATGTGCCCTAGTCAAGTAACACTCAGAAAGGATTGTCCACAAGCTAAGTATGCTCTCTTTTACCAACCAGTTAACACTCTCATATCTTCAAGAACATTTGAAGAATGAGGACCTTGCTTAGGAGTAATGCCAGAATGGCTAATGTGGAAATATGTTTCACATGGCTTCACATGTATAATCAATATCAAATTGCTTGCCTTCTTAAGGATGAGGGAAAGATGGGAAGGGAGGAGAAAATTTGAGACTCGAAATTTTAAAAAGTGAATGTTAACATTTTTACATGTAATTGGGAAATATTTAATAAAATAAATAAAAATCTATTTAAAAAAAAGGAGTAATGTCAGAAATTGAGCTTTTTCCTTATATATGCTAGAGTAGTCCACACTCAAACTGCATTGCTACCAAAGACATCCTGCAACCCTCACATGGATTTCTGGCACTTGTGTCAATGTATTGGTTCAGGGCCAGTATGCCCTTTCTCTGGAAGTACTGGGGAAGACCAGAAGGCTATAGAGAACATTCACATGGCAGCCCTCCCTGTTCATCTGAGACATTGACAGATACAATTCATCTCAGCACTAACTCATAGGCTCCAACAAATCTCACTGGAAACAAAGAAGATGCCCATCAATTGGGGAAAGGTGAAACAGAAAGTAGTCCATGAATGTAATGGAATAATCCTATGCTGTAAGGAACACCTGACTTGATGAAAACAGAGAAGCATGTAAAGACTTAAATAAACGGATACAAAATGAAGTTAGCGGGGCCTGGAAATGATGACAACGTAAACAGAAAGAACAACAAATACAAAATCATCAAAGTTGAACACCGAAAAACTATGAAGAACAATGACGACCCCATCAAAGAGCCGGGAGATGTATCCTCCCCTCCCCCTCTCCTGCGAAGAGGTGGGGGTCCATAAGGGTGGAATGCTGAGCATATTGTCAGATTTTTTCAACATATTGCTCAGTTTTTCTTGAGGGGAGGGGTTCTCTTCTTTCTCTCTTTTTCTTTAAAGCTGTTCTTTGTTATATGGGATGGTTCTCTGGGAGGAGACAAGTGGAAATTTAGGGATTGTAAAAACAAAAGATAAAAATTAATTTAAAAAAAGAGAAATGAATGTTACAAAATTATTAAGTTCCTATTAAAAAAAGCACAAGAAGGGGAGGATGCAAGGGGAGATCAAAGCTATATAAAAAGAGATAGCAACAAAAGTCTCTCTCTTTTTTTGGTGAGGCAGTCGGGGTTAAGTGACTTGCCCAGGGTCACACCGCTAGTAAGTGTAAAGTGTCTGAGGCCGGATTTCAAAAATCTATCTTTTAAAGAACAATAACAACAAAAGTAAAGCCTGCAAATTTATAAGGACCAAGCTCCTCCCTTCCTCTCTAATCCCTCCCCACCCCCGCAACCTTTTCTTTGCAGAAGTAGGGGACCTGACATATAACATCAAGCTTTCTCAATATTCATTAGGGTTTGGTTGAATTTTTTTCTCCTCATTTTATTCTCTCCATCATAAGGGATGGCTGCCTGGAAGTGGGAGAGGGGAAGGATATAGTGGGAAACATAGTTGATATAAAAATAAAAGTTGCCAATTTAAAAAAAAATTAAAGGAGAAAAAAGAACATGTGGTTTGTTCCTACTGGCCCTCACTATCTACCTCCCAGGGATAGCATTTTGCCTTTTGGATAACTAAGAGTTATTGCTATGATTAATGTTACAATCACTATTACTATTATCAGCATCCATCCCGTAAGAGACAGGGATGGGACTTTAGGGCCATCCTCAGGAGCCAGGAAAAAGGATCAGAGAAATCTTGTGGAGAAAGGGATGGATGATAGCCAACATCCTGGCTATACAGTTATACAGATATACAATATCCTGGATATTGTATCCAATACAGGATATACAATATCCTGGCTATACAGAGGGATACAGTTAGGGGACAGCTATGAAATCCAGTATGGCAGAGTGGCAATATCATGGAGGGACAGGGAAGGAGTAAGAAAGGGGTCTCCTCGGGCAGCTAGGTGGTGCAGTGGATAGAGCTCTGGCCTTAAAGTCAGGAGGACCTGAGTTCAAATCTAGTCTCAGATACAACATACAACACGTACTAGCTGTGTGACCCTGGGCAAGTCACTTAACCCTAATTGCCTAGCAAGAAAGAAAGAAAGAGAGAGAGAGAGAGAGAGAGAGAGGGAGAGAGAGAGAAGGAAAGAAAGAAAGAAAGAAAGAAAGAAAGAAAGAAAGAAAGAAAGAAAGAAAGAAAGAAAGAAAGACTCCTTTCTATGTTTGGTTCCTTACACTCCCTCTTCCCTGGGGAAGCAGTCTTTTCAAACTATGGGTCAGCAACCCACTGGCCACAAGAAGCCAAGGAAAGAAGGAGGGCATGCTGGTCACCTTCATGCTGGCATCCTCCCCTCAGCTCCCCTCCTCCTCCTCCAGTCTGTCTTCCCTCCTATGAAGCCAGAGGTCCCTAAGACCAGGCTCAGTGATCTGAGAACTCCTCTTTCCATTCTTCCCCACCCCTCCTGTTCCTGTTCCTGGCTTCCTCTTTGCCCCAACTCCCTGTTCCTTCCTCCTTGAAGACTTCATAATTGGATCTGATTCTGCCCCAGGACTCAGTTCTGGCCTCTCCTGAGCCCTGGATCTCGCCATGGACTTATTGCTGCTGCTGCTCTCACTGCTCTGGAGGGGTAAGTAGGGACAAAGCCAGGGCTGAAGGTAGTTGGATGAAGGAAGAGTTTGAGGGAGAAATAGCCCTGGAAAGGTTGGGGAGCAGGATGGGATAACATGAGAAATTCCAGCTTCTCTCTCTCTCTCTCTCTCTCTCTCTCTCTCTCTCTCTCTCTCTCTCCTGCCTCCCTCCACAGGAACCATTTCTCAAAATGAGTATGGGATTCATGTCCAGGAGACAGTGACTGTGCAGGAGGGACTGTGTGTTTCCATCCCCTGCTCTTTCTATTATCCCCAACAATATAAAAACAAAAACACAGTTCGTGGATACTGGTACTATTACAACTTTTTGAAAAGCAGTCTTGCAGCCACCAATGACCCTCAAGAGAGTGTTCACTCCTGGGCCCGAGGCCGGTTCCACCTCACTGGAGATCCCCAGATGGACAACTGTTCTCTGCGTATTACTAGAGCCCAGAAGAATGATTACGGGAGTTACTCATTCTGGGTGAAGAAGGAGAATATGGCTTACAGTTACACAGACAAGGCGGTATCTATCCAGGTAGACGGTGAGGACTCTGTTCCAGGGAAGTGTTTGGAGGCTGATGAGTACTCCAGGGTGAGGGCCAATGTGGGATTCAGGCAAGGACATGCTGGTGGAATAGTCTTTATACCCTTGGCTAGGACACACTACAGCCCCTTCCATGAAGAACATAGCCCCAATCAAGGGTGAGCACCTCAGGGTCTGGGCACTGAGGAACAGAGCTGGAGGGGGGAGGGGTCTTCGCGTGGGCCATCAAAGGGACAAACACACATATGAGGTGAGGGGGGTGAGCCTGAGGCTGTCAGAAGGATGGAGATGCCACAGAGTCCTCTGCTTGGGATGAGAAGCTCAATTCCTGGGGAAGGTGAGGAATGGGTGGGCATGGAGAGATAAGGGTCAGGACACAGGAAGGGTCACAATGGGGGGAAGGACCTACTGGAGGCATAAAAGGGACAATCCCAAGATTGTTGCCCAGATGCACACAATGTAGATCCCTCCTCCTGCAACCTGACTCACTTTCTCTCCCCTCCCCCAGATCTGACCCAGAAGCCAGAGGTGCACATTCCAGGGATCCTGAAATCAGGGCACCAGGTAAATTTGACCTGCACAGTTCCCGGGGCCTGCAGAGAAGGGACACCCATGACTTTTTTCTGGACTGGAACTGCTCTGTCGTCTAATAGATTTGCCTCCCTAGATCTCCACTCCTCCCAACTCCTCTTCACCCCCCAGCCTCAGGACCATGCTACTAGCCTCACCTGTCAGGTGACATTCAAAAATCCCAGCGTGACCACAAAGACCACAGTCCAGCTCAGAGTTTTCTGTGAGTTGTGGGTAGGAAAAGGATGCTTGAGTGTTCCCAAGAAGAGAAGGGTGGGAGGAGACAGGACACTGGGTGCCTAGATCCTGAGAGGGTTAGGCTAAGTGGCATCCTATATGTGTGTGGGGAGGAGGAATACCTGGGCTTCCCATTGCCAGTTCTGGTTTGTGAGACTGAAGGTACCAATCTCATCCCATCCCTGAAGATGGGTCCTGGTACCCCAGCCCACAGATATCCCTTTACTGCAGACCCTCCGTGGAATATGAAGATTATTTCCCGGGCAAACGGGACAGGTATGTTTGCAGAAGGCAATTGGTGGGGGAGGGGCAGGTTGGGAAAGGGAAAGGCTGAGAAGTCCGTCTGGGCCTGACCGATGGAAAAAGGGTCAGGGCTCACTCCCCTTTCTTTCTCAAGGCCAAGTGCTCCCAGGAAACACCTCATCCTTGGTGGTCTTAGAGGGTGAATCCCTGACTCTGGTCTGTTACACACATAGTGAGCCCCAAGCCACATTGAGCTGGACCCATGGAAACCAAATCCTGCATTCTACCCAGGCCCCAAATCCTGGGGTCCTGCACCTGGAGCTGGCCAAACTGGGTATCGAGGACAGTGGAGAATATACCTGCCAAGCCTGGAACTCACTGGGGCATCACAACTACTCAGTGAGACTCTGTGTGCAGTGTGAGTCACAGGGAACTGGGAGGCGCAGCTGTGTGGCCCCAGAATCCCCAACCCCACACAAGCGCAGCTGGATGGGAGGACTAATGAATATCACACACACACACACACACACACACACACACACACACACACACACACGATCCTTCCTCCAGCTCATTGTGTAAAGAAACATAATTCCAGGCAGGGATGAGCACCTCGGGGCATGCCTAGGAATGGAGGGCCAGCCCTGGGGGTGTTCATGGAGGCATCAGGAAGACAGACTGGCAAGGGGGTTGGGAGGAATGGTCCTGAAACTGTCAACTGAATGGACACATGGTGGGGACCTCTGATAGACAAATTAGAACTTCAGATTGGATGATAGCCCCAGGCCTTGAGGAAGGTGAGAGATGGCCAAAGAGGGAGAGTCCAGAGTCAGGGTATTACAGGAGGCATCTTGGGGAAATAATCTCCAGGGGGCATGGGAGGGAAAATCCCAGGGCTATCACCTGCATGCACAAGCTGCTTCCTGGATCACTGTCTCTCTCCTCTCCCAGCTCTAACACAGAAGCCAGAGGTACACATTCCAGAGATCCTGGAGTCTGGGCGCCAGGTCACCTTGACCTGTTTGGTCCCTGGGGCCTGCAAAGAGGGAAAACACTTTACCTACCTCTGGACTGGGACTGCCCTTTCTTCTCAGGGTTCTGCCCTGCTGAATACCTCCAGACTCCTCTTCACCCCCCAGTCCCAGGATGATGGCACTAACATTACCTGCCAGGTGACATTCCCAAAGGCCAGAGTGAGCACACAGAGAACTGTCCAGCTAAAGGTCACCTGTAAGTGATGGGAAGGGGGAAGCAGGATGCCTAGGTCTGCCCAGGGAAAAGAGGGCTGGAGGGGAAGGTCCAAGATCTAAGACATCAGGTGCCTGGTGAGGTACCTGAGAAGGCAGGAAGAGGTGGGGCACGATGGAGAGGATGAAGTTTGGGGATGGGAGGCTGAAGGTTGTGATCTCAACCTATCCCAGAGGACCCTAGCTCAGACACAATTGTTCCATTTCAGACCCTCCTCAGAATGTGACCATCAGTGTTTCCTGGGCAAATAAAACAGGTAGGTTTTCAGGAAGCAATGAGGTGGGGGGTGGGGGACAGGGAGAAAGCTCTGATCCTCCTTTGACCTCTAAGGTCAGTCTGGAGCCAAGCCAGAGTAAGAGTTGCAGCCTTCATCCCCATCCCTGGCTCTCCTTTTTTCTCTCCAGGCCCAGAATTATTAGGAAACACGTCATCCCTGCAGGTCCTGGAGGGTGAGTCCCTGACTCTGGTCTGTACCACAGAAAGCAATCCCCCAGCCCGTCTTATGTGGACCTACAGGAACACAATCCTGCCATCTTCAGAGGCCTCGGACCCTGGGGTCCTGCACCTAGAGCTGTCCAAAGTGGGGCCCAAGGACAGAGGCGAATACACCTGCCAAGCTCAGCACCCGCTGGGACCTCAACAGCACTCCCTGAGACTCTGTGTACAGAGTGAGTCAGAGGAAACTGGGAGGTGCAGCTGAGGAAGGCCCCAGTATCCCCATCCCCAGCAGGTGCCCGCAGCAGTGGTTGCTGGAGACTCCAGCTTGATATCTGGGTCCTGATGACACAGCTGAGGCCTGGGGGGCATGCCCCTTCTAGCTCCCAATCTCTGTCTCCCTCAGCCTGCTCTTGCTGTCCTGTCTTTGAGGAGAATGGTTCTTGGCCTCTGATCTTCACCCTGCTTCGAGGAGCTCTCATGGGAGTCAGCTTTCTTCTCACCTATGGCCTCACCTGGCTCTATTACACCTGGTAAGTTGGCATGTGTCCCCTCCCTGACATGCCTCAGGGATCCTGGGCCCCAGAAACCTTAGCCTGTAGCTTGCCCTGGTCAGGACCGGAATGGTGCCAGGAGCCTGCCTGAGCTTAGCCTCTGACAGGGGTTTGTGTTTTCTCCACAGTCAAGTCAACCAACCCCTGGACACTATGGATAAGAGTGAGATGGACTTTTACTCAGCCCCTGTGTTCTACGGGATCCAGGATATGTCAAAGACATAGGACTGCTGGATAAAATCGAAATAGCTAGCATCTCATTGATTTTAAATTCTTGCTCTCTTACCTCACCAGGGACCACATGAGTGCTCAGAAAGCCTTCTAGTTCCCTTTTATTGACTCCCAAGTTTACTCCCCAAAGGCACAGTTCCAAACTTTCTCCTCTATCCTCAAGCCCCTGACCCCACCTTGTCATCTGGCCCTCAGAAGATTCTCTGGTCTCCTACTTCCCTGAGACCTACTCACCCTTCTCTCTACATCTCACCTGAACAACCTCCCTTTCCTCCTCTCCTGTTGCTCTCTAGTCTCTAAAGAGTGAGTCATCCTCCTGGCCCCTCATCTTAATCTTGAAACCGTAGCCTCCTACATTCCCCATGTCATCCCTAGAAATCTGGGAGGTAACCATTACTAAACCCTTCCTGGTCAGAAATCCACTGGACAACTTCCCTGAAAGTGGCCATGCATTTTTTGCTAGGAACCCTCAAATGATGGGGTGTGCTGGACCCCCTGAAGCAACTCATTGCACTTTAATATAGCTTAGGAAGCTCTCATTGCACCAGTATGGCTTACATCTCTCCCCTCTCTCCTGCTTCTTCTGGTCTCTGAGCCAATCAGAACATGTCTCATTCAAAACACAAGGAGAAAACCATAATGTTTCCCCCACTTCTCCAAGTCTTCTCCTCTCCAGGCTAAACATGCCCATTTTCTTCAAATCATCCTCAAATGGCATGTTCTGCAGCCCTACTTCTCCCATCATCCTGCTACCTTTTACATGAAAAAATAGCATTATTGACTTCATTTTGCCTTTATCCACCATTTTGTGAAGCTGTTTCACCTGCTTGTAAGTCACCTGATTTTGAAGAAGTCACAAGATTACTCCCCTTCCCGAAGGTTACCTGACTTACAGAATGTCACAAAACTAACCCTCTCCCTCTCACCCCAGTGTCTCCCAACCCTCTCCACCAATAAGAAACCAGATGTCTCGATCCCTATAATCCTGTTTTTCACTCCCTCCAAATTGTATATTAATTGTGTAGAAACCAGTGGTCAATATCCTTGGTTACTGAGAGCCTTGGTCCTGGTTTGCTTCTGCAACCACATACATTGCTAAATAAATCACTGGGGACAGCTGGGTGGTGCAGTGGATAGAGCACCGGCCCTGGAGTCAGGAGTACCTGAGTTCAAATCCGGCCTCAGACACTTAACAGTTACTAGCTGTGTGACCCTGGGCGAGTCACTTAACCCCAATCGCCTCATCAAAAAATAAATAACTAAATAAATCATTGTCTGGATGTAACTACTCAGTTGCTTTATTCCACCATAACAGCCCCTCCCCTTTTTCTCTTCTATTTGTCAATATCCTTTCTAAAATGCAAGCCCCCAAACTGAACACAGTACTCAAGATAGGTCTTGTCCAGGGCGGAGGAGAGTGGGACTATCCCCTCTTTGTTACCTGAGCTCTGGGCTTTATTTTAACAGGGAAGATGGAGCTGGGCATACTCACTGTCTCAAGATGAGGTTAGGGCCCTTGTACTTTCAGATAATGAAGCAATCTCTTTTTGGGGCTGTGTCCCCCAACTGGGGACCATGTCCAAGAGGACTAATTACTAAGCCAGAAAGAGCCATTCACTGTAGACTGAAAGGATTGAGGAGAAATGACTTCTTCAGGTTCTGCCTGGTTTGAAACACCTGGATTTCCAGAAAATTTGTCGATTGATTGATTGATTGAAGGTGGAGGTGAGATATCTCTCAGCTCCCTCAACCCCCTGAGGCATTCCAAACATATGACAGTGAGGACATATGCTTACCTAGGGCAGCCTGAGAGAGGATCTCAAGTTCTTTGCTGCCTTTTCTGTTTTGTGTTTCTTTCTCTAAGCATAGGTTGACCGATCAGTGATCCCGAGAGGTGGACTTTTTCAGCGTTCACAGCTCCTCTGGGAGGTCACAGGTTTCTGGGCTCTTGAGCCCAGGAGGGGCTCAAGTGCTTTCTACAATTAACTACATCACTTCTCAGAGAAGTTGCCCCACTGCCAGAGTAACCCTGAGGCACAGGAGGAAGAAAAGGAAGACAACACCACTTAAGGTGACTAAAGCTTGAGCCATGCCATGTCTGGCTAGCGGAGCTGGATTTGTGAATTGTGCAGACCAAGCACTGCAGAGGTGAAAGCTCAGTACCTGTTTGTTCAGTGGTCATGCAAAGTGCCTTTTCAGAGAGGCTGTAATGATGACAAAAGATTATTACTTAAGAACTTCTTCAGGTGAGGGGGGACAGGGCTGTTCTCGGGGCTCCTGTGAAGCCAGGATAGAGAGCTCAGGCTGAGCAGGGCAGGGTGTGGGACTGGAGTGTGGGAGTATACACCACGGCAAAGGTGCAGCAGCTACAGATGCTGGAGGCAGTGGTGAAAGGGCTGCAGCGGGAGAACATCCAGGAGATGCAGGGTACCATGTTCTGGTGCTGTGCCAGCTGCTGTGAAGATACCCAGGCCTCCGTGAAGCAAGTTCATCAGTGAATTGAACTCTGCCATGCTCCCTTGGCCCAGGCACAAGCCCTCGTGACCAGTGAACTGGAGAAATTCCAAGACTGCCTGGCTCGATGCACCCTGCACTGCACTGGCAAAGCCAAAGACTTGATGGACGCTGGGAGCAAGGAGCGGCAGGTGAAGAGGCAGCTAGATTCCTGTGTGACCAAATGTGCTGATGACCACATGCACCTCTTCCCACCTGACCAAGAAGATGAAGGATTCCCTGGCATCTATTGCAAGATAGAGTCACTGTCAGCAATCATCTGGGTGGAAGAATGGGTCTACTTGTAAAAATGAAATTTTTGCCTTTCAGTGAAAATTTATGAATGAAGAAATTGAGGCTGCTAGCAAGTTTAAGAATACCTCTATGGGAATTTCACATTTGCCTCTGGACTCTGTTGGTTCCAGCATGTGTTTTAGCCCATAGGTGAAGAAACTGGTGCTCAGATCTGGATTGGAGGTTAACAGTACCCACGCCCATCCCTTCAGTGAAGGTGACCCCTATTCTATCTGTTGGAGCCCTTAACGGCTTTCAGCTCGTTCAGAGGTATTCCATTCCTAGAGGCTGGTATAACCCGTTGGGTTTATAAGTATTAGCAGTTCTCCTCCCCAACCTACCTCCCATCTGGTATGAATCCCTGAGGTAGCCGTCCACTTTTGTTTGGTGCCAACTTCACATCCACCTGATTGACCCATTTCCCATAGACTAAAAAGCAGCAGCCATGAGTTCACTACTGATTGGAAAAGAGAAACACAATCGTGCTTTTCTCCCCGGTATGAGAACTGGAATTCAGAGGGGAGTCTGGGGAAAGAGGGTTGCTTGAATTAGAGCACTGAGCGGCTCCCAGGTGATCTTTCCTTTGACAAAGACAAGCAAGACCATAAAAGGGAAATCTCCCACCAGGCTTGTGAAGCTCAGATTCCTTCACGTTGGCTTGTATAGGATCACTGCTCACGTTACTTTTTCTTGCCCTTCTGGAAGGTACTATAGAGACAACATTTCAGTTAAAGTGTTTTTTGAGATTAATGTGAAACAGTTTTGAGTCGAGGCCAAAAAAAGCCTCTTTTTGCTTGCAGAACAATCTTAAGCCTCCTGCTTAATGGAATGGTAAATGGTAAACTGAGGGAAAGTAAGTTTTCCCCAAAGCGGAAAAAGATGATACCTGACCATGGTCCTGCTCATTTGCCCTCTTCAACAGAAACAACTCGTTGAGAGGACCCTCTTAGGACAGGAAAGGGTAGGAAGACAACTTAAACTTCTAAGCAGGTTGCAAAGAAGAGCTTTTTTCTACCCTAGAGTACATGAGGCAGCTAGCACCAACTATCACTGTTGATTAAAACTTTGAGCAACATGTTAGTACCAGGCATTGTGTTGGAAAAGATCTTGTTTTCTTTATAACAACTTCTTACTGAATGCCTTCCTGTTCAGTGTTTCAAGGCTATGTTATACTTTCCTAGTGGTTTGATTAAAAAATAAATAGTTTTATTTAAAAAAAAAGAATTTCTTCATGCAAATTTATTCAATATAGCATGTTGGAGATTGTCCCAGCTGAAGGGCATCACTCCCAACAGTTCTGCATAGCTCCCACCAGGTGGTGCTAGGCACAACACTTCCCTTTGTACTCCAGCAGTTTTGCTGGTCTTGAAGGAAGGATGGGTATTATTGTGGACAGAAGAAAGCTCTACTGAGTCAGATGCTTTTTTGTGTAGCCAGTAAAGCGTCCCTGTTCTGCCTTCTGGGATTGTGAATTCTCTGCTCGTCTCTGTCAATTATATGACTATAAAGATGTGGCCCACCATAGGAAATTACCTGAAAAAAGCTTATCTGTTCCATTCATATCATTTCATCAAGAATGATCTCATGGCTTATAGGGAACGCCAAACTTTCTGGATTATAGAATGTTATCTGAGAGGGCCCTGAGCCTGAACTCTGACACATGTTCTGTGTCATAGGGTGAAGCAGGTGGATAACCCATGCTCTCCTACCTCTCACTTTCCCAACACTACATATGCCTTATAGGTGCATCATTTTTTTTTTTTTGGCCAAAGACAAGGTTTATTAGAACATCCGCCATATTGGGCAGACTCTTAAGGAGTCTGAACATTAGTAAGCTATTCACTAGATTTTAAGAATCTGAGCAGTGGCCAGATTTTAAGAATCCCAGCATCTTAATGGAAACAAGATGGACCTTATATACAGAAAGACTGTGGGAGGGATCTAGAAGTGGCCAAGTAGTTTGGGGTGACTGGAGGAGGGGTCTAAGGAAGATCTGAATGGGAATGGCCAGTAAACTGGGGTGAACAGGACTCCTGGGACCTGGACAATGGAGCCTAGCTAGGATTAAGTATGGGAAATGGCCAGGGGCCATAAGGAGGGCTAGGCTAGGTTAAGGGTAACAAAATTGGGAGATTGGGTATAGCCACAAAGAAAGGCCAGTTGATGGGATTATAGCCTCAGGAGAATGTCAGAGATTTGGCCATGTGGGAAAGTCCAAGGTTTTTCCTTTCTGGAGCCCAGATCCCAACCCTATCATTCCCCCCTCAAACAAATGGGACCCAAATTCTTTTGGAGTAAGGGACGAAGGTGTCAACTTCTGAAACTGCCTCCTGCTGACAAGGGGTGTAGAGCTGTCCCTGCCTTGAAGGAGTCCCAAAGAGGAGGTTGACTGGAACCAAGCACAGGATGCATCCAGGGAATGAAAGGGGGACATTGGCTGGTACCCTGAGTTTGCTAGCGACTGTAGGTGAATGGTCTGTAGTCTAGAAGACAAAATCTGACAGAAAAAAAAACTGCAGGGCCCAGATATAAAGCAGGGACTAGGTTTAAGGTCCAACTTTGAGAGGATAAAACATCCTTAGCTCTGTTTGGATTCAGATAATTCAGTTTTCCAACCATGCAGTATCAAATCCATCTCATAGCCAGACTCAGGAATAGCCAGGTGGGTAACATTCCCTTTCAAAGGAACATAATGGGGAAACTGAGCCAGGAGGATCGCATCTTAGGCTGAGGCTAAAATTGTCCTCTCAGGTTTTCCCAATGCTGACTTCCCACCGGTATCACCTTCTCTGAGTAGCTTGTGGCATTCCTCCCAGATGGTGGATTATTGATTATGGATGGATTATTATGATCCATCAGACAACTCAAAATAAAATCCTATGAGCTTTTACCTCAAACAGCAAGTTTCACTAATCACAGCTTAGGAAAAACTTTTCCAGAATTTACATCTCAAACTTAAATTTGTCCTGGTGTAAAAAACCAATCATTAGAGCTTTTTGGCTAGTTTACACATTAAAACAATAACCAACAGTAGCTAAATTATTTTAGCAGTAACCAAATTATGAAAAGTTACTTGACATAACTGATTCAAAAAGTTCACCAATTTGAAACTTGAAACAAACTCATTAGCAATCAGGTGACTTCAGTTTTGTTAAATGCACTTCCAAATTACTTTACACAGAGAATCAACATCTCATCATTAACAGTTAAAACTACAAATTTAAAAGAGCATGCTTACCCAAGTTCGGAGGCTAGCTTCTTTACCTTGAGCAGGATGTGCTGAACCTGGGTGATGCTTCCAGGCAAGGGTTGCCCCAGAGCCCAAGGCC